GAAGTAAAAATGGCTTCCACTTGTAACTCTTCCATTGATCAATTTAATAGTGATCTATGGTGGCATGGTAGGCAGTGCTACCACATTTGAGTTGGAGGGGGTGAATCACTGGATTCTCACCAGCCCCAGGGACTTTGGTAGACAATCACCAAGGTGACTTGGTCCTCCTGCTACGCCCCGAATCCCACAGCTCCAAATGTCACCAAGCCATTGCCTCATAGGCCAGGATGACCTCCCCCAATCCTTTCTGTAATGGTCAGAAGAAAACAAGGAAGCCGCAGAAAACGTAGTTCTAAAAAACCATCATCCACACCTTAAGTCTTTAGTCCCAGTTTCCTAAAAGTTCTCTTATCTGCCAGCCAAGTCCAAAGTCTCCTAGGGAGGCAGGCCCCAGCCTATGCCTGCTCTTCCCAAATTCGATACCTTTTCCCTAAGGGGATTCTCTCTCCTCCTGCCTCATTCCAGAACTGTTTTCCCTTTGGCACTCCTTCAGTCTTAAGTGTTGCCTCTCCTCCACCCCTCTCTTTCTAGAATGAGATGGGTCTGGCTTACATAGACCCCAGACCTCTCCCCCTCCCAGCTGCCTCGGAAAGAGTAGTTAATTGGAGTCAGCTGCTTGTGTTTTTTCCTCCTCCTGTCCCCAGGAAACAGTTCACACTGTTGCATAAGAGGGGAGTGCAAAGAGCATTGCACAGTGAATTGCGGGGGGGGCGGGGGGAGTATGGGTATGAGGGCTTTAACAGAACTGGAGCAATGGGATGTGGAGAAGGAGCACAGGGAGAGAAACAGATGGGGAGGATCATTAAAAAGAAGAGAAAAATTGGAGAGGGCACTGCTAGGAGGGCTTGTAGGAGAGTGAGCAAAGCAAGGGGGGCCCTTTGTGGGAGTTGTCAGCCAGCCTGGACACACCAGCCATTTCCAAATGACTTTGTGCGGGTGAGGTGTGTAAGCAGCATCCTTGCTGGCTGGAAAAAAGAATCTGTTGACTGTTGGGGAAGAGGACTGGAAATGGCTAGAAAAGCCAGCCCAGGAGATTTTCCTGACTGGCATCTTTTGATATCAGACATTACTTTGAAGTGAGAGAAGTCGCAGTGCATCTCTGTAGTGGTGTGTCAGAGCCAAGGCGTTACACCTGGCCAAAGCACCACCAGCTTACTGCAGGAGTGGGTCAATGACTTGTTAAAGTGTCATTGAACTCAGCATGAAGTGCTGCTGCTGAATAAGCAGAAGTGTTAAAATCTTTCTAAAGTAGGTCCTACAAAAAGCAATATTTCTGTTTTCTCGTCGAAGAAATAGTTGATTTTTTTTTAAAAAGCAGTTAGATGTTTAGAATTCAAAAGGCAATTTGGTGATAGGTTTCATTTTGGACATAGACTGCCTGAGAGTGGCTCTTTATAGTGGCTGAAGGGCTTTTGATGCATTGAAAAAAGTGATAGCTATGAACAATAGCTAAAACTGGTGAAATCAGTTCTTCCCTTCAGCCTTGTAGCCTGGCTTCCAGGCTTGCAAGGACATGAGATCATAGCATCATCCTATTAAGAATATGGTGAGAATGCTAAATCCTATTCAGATCAATGGAAAGCAAAAGGATTATGTTCAGTAACTAATTCAGAGGCTAATATCTTGAGCTTTTATCTGTGTTTGCACAGCAACCAGCACAATTAGTCCCCATTATATAATTTTTATTTTAATTATAATGTGCAGGCAGTTTGGTCTAGTCACAGTCAGGAAACATGAGTTCTGTTCCTGCCACAGACCTATTACATGACCTTGGGAGAGTCACTTCACCTCTGTGTGTTTCTGGTTTTTGTATGTTATTTCTCTTTTAGATCGTAAACTCCTCAGGGCAGGATCTGTCTCTTATCGTGGGTTTGTGAAGCACTTAGCACAATGTCGGTTAGAGCCCCTACATGTTACTATAATATAAATAACATACAGCTACATAAATAGGTCTTACATTCAAGGCATAAGGAGAAAAGGGCTCAAGGGTCTGTGGCATTTTAAACTCAAGATGTCTTTGCTTTTGTACTTTTAAGGTGCAAAGTAAGCTGTTGTAGCGTAAGTTGTGTGCTTGTTTTCATAAACTGTAACAGAGTTCTCCTGATGTGCTCCCAAATGAGCAGCGGACTGGTGACAGGAAAAACAGGTTGCCCCACGTATGCCCCCTGCTTTGATTAATTAAGTTTCACACTAATAAGAAAACAGGGTTATGGATAATCAAATAAATCCATTAAGCTTACTTAAAGCTGCGGTGCTGGCAGTCACGACTTTCCACTGGTGGGCATTCATGCCAAATGTTAATGCACAATGCTGATGACCATACAGTATTAAATGCTAATGAACATCATTTTGAATGCATATGGTTTGTGACTGGAAAAATGTCTCCAGCGAATTAAGTATTTATAAAATTAAACTTTGGTAAAACAACTTCCTGCTCCTGCTACATATTACCTCCCCCTTCAACTTTTCACTACACCAAAGGACAAGGGTCTGTAATACCGGCAGGTGCTCTTTGTTTCCCACATTTCTAGTGGGAAATGAAAGAGGGGGGTGAGAGAGAGAGCACTCATGTGAAAGACAAACAATTGCCTAGCTTTGCAGGAAATGATAATATAACTGGCAGAAAAAGGAAGGAGAAAATATTTCCTAGGGCTGGAAATTATTGAATGTTTAGAGCAGAGGAACTGACAATGGTTTAGAGGGGGGGATTTTCCTTATTTCCCCCTTAAAAATAAATAGGCTAGGAAAAACTACATTTTTACTGGTACATGTTGATTTCACCATACACACACAAACCAGGGAAAAAATATTTCCATTGATGATGATCGAAATTTACAAATAGGCCAAGTAAGAAAAATGCTGCTTGAGAAACTGAGTTTGACTGAAGGCTGTTTACTTTGAATATTTTGACATATGTTGACAATTTGGGTTTTAACCATTATAAAGATTTACTTTTTAGAATCTCAATGTCTACTGTCACTAACTGTGAAAATTTAGATTGATTAAAAAACTAAAAAAATGCTTAAAACATATAATGTTCTGCAACCATGAAAATTTAAAAAGATAAAAATTGAAAAAAATGCTTAAAAATGAACATTGATATTATCCATCAAAATTATAAACAAAAATCAAATTCTGCCAACCCTACAAATAAATGACAGAAGTAGCACATCAGATAGGTATTAATACAAAAATTGACATGGCATGTATGTCAGTTTGATTGCATAGATATCTAAAATGCTTGTCACTGGTGATCCTGAAAAAGACTGCAAACCTTGGACTGAAATAATTGACAAACACGTTTGTGTTTCAGCTAGTAATGTATCACTTCACGTTAAGCTCCCTGAATGGTCATCAGAACAGGTCGCTGAGGAGCAGTGTTGATATACAAAGTATCAGGAAGTTGTTTACTGGATTTTGGACCATATCCACCTCCCGTTTAAATCAGTGGAGAGCCTTTCATTCAGTGGGAGTTGAATCAGACCTTTGGTGATTAATTATTGTGTCCGCTGATAGTTTTGAAAAGCTAAAAAGACCAGATAATATTAACGATGGGATTTTCAAAAGTACTCCGGGAAGGCTTAAATCTGCTCCCATTGACTTCAATGTTCATTTAATTCCCAATTCCTTCTAATATACGAGTTTTAAGGGTGGGATTTTCAAAGCACTCCATTTTGGCTTAACTCTGTTCCCCTCTATTTCTCCAAGCCCTTGTCCTTCGACCGCTTTGGACTGAGTGGAGAAGGAGACTAGAGAGTGCAGTTTCTATTCACTGTCCAGTGGGAAAATCTCCACAGTGTAGATGGCTCATGCAAGGCTCTGGGCTGAATTTCACCCCAAATACAAAGGAGTGTGTTTTTTTTGGTGAGCTCTGGGAAGCGACTGGGTGAACTTGCAGATGTCATCCTCCAAAGACAGAGGAGTTGCCATCAGAGAGTGGATGATGCAGTCCCAGTGGATTCTGTTTTAGTAGAGAGTCTGTGAGCTTGGTTCCAGGGGTCACCAGTTCCACAAGTGGGAATACACAGAAGTCCATGGAGAAGGAAGAGCCTTTCTCCCCTTCTGATCCCTCTCCTTGAACGAGGCCCAGCATACCAGGAGCTCTTGAGCTGAGGGAGAGCAGTGACTCTCCAGAGCTAGTGTTACTACCAACCTTAATCTCCATAAAGGGCATGGAGTTGGGGGCAAGGCCATGACCAGGTGTAAGGGTGGCCCAACTCTGGAAGTCATTGTGACCCAAGGCCTTGCAGAGCTCCTGCTGGGGCAGTGAGCCTCCTCTTAATCATTCTTAAACAGAATACTATGGTGAAATGGATTCTTTGGAGACACTCTGTTTTTGGTAAGCTGTGGCATTTGTGGCTCAACTGTTTTGTTCTCTGAACTGCAGTGGCCGGATAAGAGTTGCCTGTATTTGGCACCAAGTGGGAAAGTCTGCTCCATGACTCAGGAAGAACAACACTCACCTGTACCCTTTCAGAAGCCCCCCTCAAGAATTCCATCGCCAGTTTTAACTGCGAGAGAGACTATTTGAGACATTGTTTAGCAAGCTTTGTCTCAGACGCCTGTTCACAGATCTAATATGCTCAAACTATCCACTATACCACATAGCCAGGCTCACCTGTGTGCGGTGGTTTGCAGCAGGAAGACGACATTTCAAGACCCTCAGAAGAAAACATGTAGTGGTGACCTCCTTGACAAACATTCTGATTGGTTCACAGAAAAAAACCAGCCTTTTCCCCCCCAAATTTTAAAGACATCAAGTCAATCATTTCTTTCAAAATATAGGTATTATAATCCTCCTCACAAAATGAAGAGCATTTCACCCGGAAGACTGTCTCTTAGATCAACTGGAACATACAGCGTAAGGCTAGGAGAGTTATGCAGGTAAAATACTGGAAGAACTTCTCTGTTCTGTTTGCACATTAATGCTAAAAATTAAATGATTTCATTTCCAAGAAAATCATTTAAAACTGCAGTCATCTTTATTGAGCATTTTCCATTTAATCTTTCAGCTCTGTAGAAGATGCACATCTGAGATCTGATGCAGATTACTCCACGCAGCATCCAGTTAAGGTTATTGTACCCAATTTGGTATGAGGTAACAATATATGGCAGCAATATTCAGAGACAAAAACTGACCTGGTTTCGAATGTAATGTGCTTTTAGAGCAATTGTTAACATAATGGGGCTTCATGTGACATAGCTAAAGGAGAGTGACAAAAAATTGAATCATGTTATAAGGTGTCATTTATTTAAACAGGCTATGTAAGCATTTGAGAAGTGAGAAATTTGAGGAATCTAGCATGATAGGATAGATAATGACAATAGGTGTGTGTGGTTACAATAGAAACAGGTAAAATAACTGAGTTCTTTGGAAAACCCAAATTAGGTTCTGAGGTATATAAAAATAATAGCTCAATATATTCCAGCACCCTAAGTTCTTTATGCAGGGAATGAGAGTGAAGGCATATTCGTGTGTGAAATTAAACTAATATACACCTTTACCCCGATATAACGCAACCCGATATAACATGAATTTGGATATAACGCAGTAAAGCAGTGCTCCGGGGGGGGCGAGGCTGCGTATTCCAGCGGATCAAAGCAAGTTCGATAGAACGCGGTTTCACTTATAATGCAGTAAGATTTTTTTGGCTCCCGAGGACAGCGTTATATTGGGGTAGAGGTGTAGTTAGTTATCAGATGGTAAAATGCACAATTCTGTTTCTGACTCAAAACTCTATCCTATATTTATTTTGCTTTTGAGATGGCAAAGGAACAGGGAACAAGAAGTCTGAAACCATCTTGCAGAGCTTCCCCGATTTCTTTTCCATTTGGCCAGTCTTGAATATTACAAAGGCAGTGGGGACTGCATGTACTCTGAAGAGTTCCTAAGGATTTTCAAAGACAGCAAGAGTGATCCCAAATCAAAAGCCAGGTGTATCTACAGTGTATCTGTAATGGAGTGTATCTTATTCTCCACTGCAATGATGAAAATAGAATTCACAGCTAGGGAGGAATTCACGGAGCTTTGGGAAATGAGAAACATTTACTGGATTTGGTTTCTTAACCATTAGAGCAAGGACTGGTATTTTTAGTAGATGCGTCTAGATCCTTGTGAGACAATAACAGTGTATGCATCTTGTAATGTAGTGCTTAGGTAAGACTGATGAGTGGAGATGTACTGGTAAACAAAGCCACTCTAATGGTAAGCTAGCACAGCTTCACACAGTGGGCAGTTGCTCTAGTGCAGGGATATAAAAAATGCAGATATGCAATATGACGAAGATGCTTTATGCATTGGATTGGACCCAGATGCCCTGGTTGTCTGAGAATGCACAGGCACATTCTGCTGAAAGCGAAGTTTTCCCTTGTCCTAGGTGGCCAACATCCCCCATTACTAGCCGTCCTTTCTCTGAACCCCCTCGACCCTGCTGGCCTCCTGATGCTCTCCACCCTGAAGATTAGGAGCCCAGAAGCACTCTATACAAACATTAAGCACACAAGAATGCAATGGAGTTTGGGCCTTTTCATATTCCTAATCCAGCAGCCAGAACCTTCCTGCACCCTCCTTAAACTCAACCCTGCTCCCAACTGCTAAGCTCTTGTGCACCTTCCGGTGAGAGATGTGTCCCATACAACTCCCTTCTCATTAGTGTTTTGCATCTTCCTGTCATGGATCCAAAGGATTGATGCTATGGCCCCAGCTTTGGAACAGTCCTTGGGAGGACCCCTTCAGTGAGCCAGACCCGCTAGGGGTCTCTCTCTTCTTCCAGGGGAACCCACATGGCTTCACCACCTCCCTAAGCCGGACCTCGGGTCCTTCAGCACCCCTGCTTCACATTGTGAGCTCCGTTCAGCAAGTCCAGCTGAGGCAGACCCCTGAGGGAGACTTGTACAAGCTTAGGGAGCAAGGCATCTCTGCCAGTATCTGCAGGGACACTCAGCCAGCATTTTCAAACAGTAGGGTTTATTAGTCAGCTGGAACACAGCATAGGAAGTCCTTGGTTAGCATAGAGAAAAGAAAGTGACAGCATAGTCCATCTTGGTCAGCACAGACCTCTCTTTGTCCTAGTTCAGGTGTGTGCCAGAAACCCTCAGCAGCCAACCCTTACCTACCATCCCCAGCATCTCCCCAGCCCTCTGTTCTCCAGATGGGCAAACAGTGCTGGCCTTCTTCAAGTGAGGTGGGCCATCCGTGGTGGTTGGTTGCCAGGTATCAAAGTCCCACTGAGTAGGGTTGCCATTGTCTCCTCCAAAGCTCCTTTGATATGGGGCCCAAACCCCAGGCAGCTAGGAGCCATTCACCCCTGAGTCTCTGAGCCTTTATGGAAAGTAAACAACCCATTCTACTCCCTCATTAACACTGAAGCACATAGGGGAAACTGAGGCGTCATTAAAAAAAATACAAAAATTCCCACTTTCTCACACTCTTTTATAGAAAAAGAAATGAATTTTAGGATGCTTCTTGGAAAAAGTCTTGAAATTATTTTAATAAACTCCTCAACTGTTCTCCATTTCTCAGAACCTGCCATTTCTATTTATTGTATTGTTTGTGTCCTTCATATCAGGTTGTGTATGTTTGTTTCTCTATCTACATACACACATTCTGCTTTAAATGATATATTTCCCCTGTACTTTGCTCATACTGATTATTGGTACCAGGTGGCTTCATGTGCTACTGGGTCATCTACTGTGTATGAATTGGCCAGTTGCTTCAGTATGCTGCTATGTAAAAGCAACAGAACTGTAGTGATCTTATATGTGTTTCAAGCCCAAATAGTTTTTCCCTGATGATTTCATTGGGAATATAAAATGTTAATACAGAGGTATTAAAGAATCTTATTTCTCTTCATTTGAAAATGATAGGAACATGAATCGTGGTTTATGAAGCCTCAAACACCTCATTCTCTAAGATCACAACTTAAGGAGAAGTAAGTGAATTATTTGTTCTCCCTTTCAATTATTTTTTATTATATGTTGAAATATTTAAAGTAAGAAGCTAACAGAAAATTGAAATCATGTCACCAGAGCTTGTTTAACCACCAGGAAACAGGTACACTACAGTAAGCAGAAGTGACAACACAGATGATACAGATTTTTGTCACATAGGTGGGGGCTTATCTCACAGTAACCATACCCCCGGATGTTGCTATTATTTTTCTTAAATAGGTTATACATAAAAGGCGAAGATTTTTCAAAGTAATACTTGGGTGCCCAACTTTAGATACTTTAAAGAAGCTTGATTTTCAGAAAGTGCAAAGCACACTGCCTCTGAAAAGTGGAGACACCCAAAAATCAATAGTCACTACTGAAAATCTTGACAAAATTCTTTATTAGAAACGTCTTGTAATCACCGTGAACTGCCAGCCAAATAAGAACTTTCTGGGAATGTTCTTCAGTAAATGTTTTTGTCCGTAGGATTGCTTAATATAATCAGTTCTTAAACAAGAGCTGCAAATAAAACAAAGCCTCTCTTTTGAATGTTAAAATCAGTGGTATTGGGATTGCAGTAAGAGAATATTGACAATGGCCCAGAAAAAGCACCATGCTCAGGTAAGGATGAGTGATAATGGGACGGGGACCACTGACTAGCATGAACTGCTCTCCTGGAAGAGCAATGGTCAAAGAAAGAAAGGCCTATCTCTCAGAGCAACCAGCATATTTACAATTCTTGCAACTAGGAACAATTGGCAGACAGCAAGCCCTCCATATAGGAGTAGGGACATCCCCAAAAGCTCTCTGTTTTCCTGTCTGCATCCCTGGGAAAGGGTGCATTGTCCATGCTCCAAGTTGGCATATAGGCTTACTTTCCTAGACACCTTTGAACTTTTGTTAACATTTTAACAAAGCCTCTTAGGGTTTGTCTCTCTGTACAACAAACTGGTCAGCATAGACAAGGATAATATGGTGATCAGCATGAACTCTGCTAACTTGACTCCTCAACACTGTATTGAAACACAATAAGATTTCCTAATGAAGACAAGCCTTTACAATGCAATCAGTAGTAAAGAAAGAAAGCCACCTTTGTTGAAATAAGGTCACACTCATTAGTACTACAAGCTGGTTTGTCTTCTGTATACATTAAAAAAGGATGGAAATAAAACACAAAGCCCTGTCTTGTCTGGGAATATTGATGCTGATGGTCTGTTTCATGTTTGTATAGAGAAGAAGAGTTGAAATACCTTCAGTTTCTTCAAGAAGTTACAAATGATATTTTGATTAGAAGTTGTTACTGCAAGGAGTAAGTACTTGACATTTCTTCTTATTTAGTCATCTGAAAAAAGAAATTGTGACTAATTTTATAATCAGTATGAAGTATTGGAGGACTTGTGAAGATGAAGGCCGTAATGCTATTCTTGAAATCGATCCCTTTGATTTGTCCTTCTTTTTTCTCCTGGCTTTTACACTTTGTAATAGGATAACCAATAACACACACAGCTGAGAAACAAAATGGGAAATATTTGCAGTGATCTTCCTATTTCCTGAAAACATGGAGTAGATGTAAACAGACATTATGTTCTCAGAGTCTGTTCGTAGGACTGAGCCATTGCATAAAATGGTGAGATGCATTGTTGTTATCGAGGTGGCTCTGTGTTCCAGTTCTGGTTTGAATTGGTTTCTCCGAGCCTAGATAAAGTAACACAGAGCTACATTGAGTCTTCCGTAATAAAGTGCCGCAGAGCAAGAGATGTTGCACAGTGGCTTTTTTCCCCCAACACAAGAACAAAAAAGGTAGAATAAATTAATATCTATATAGCAATGCTTTTTTCTTTGGAGTATACACTGCATCACTCCATTTGACTTCTCTCGTTAAATCATTAACGAAGATCAAAAAATAATATGCCCAGCCAACTCAGGTATCTAACTGTCACATCATGTGCAGTTTTCATGTTGCCTAATTTAAATTATGCATTTACACTCTCACACTGTTTTACATTTCTAATAATGAAGGTTGTGGAAGGTTCTGATAAACCACACTTCCCTGTTTGCCCTCAGTGAATCCAAGCATGACAAAATGTACTTTGATGTAAGTCTGCTCTCTCCTATTCTACTTGCTGCCCTGCACCTTAACTAGAAGGTGCTTTTGCTGTAAGGAGGAGAGAGAATTTAAATGCAAGCATGTTTAGGCCTTGGTCTTTGTGAAGTGCCATCTAGAGAAGGGAGAGGTGCCAACCTTCACAATCAGTCATGTCTTTGTCTTTGGCTATCCCTCGATGCAAGGGTAACGTCTGCCAAGGGGGGTTCATTGGTGGGATTTTAAGTGGCTGAGGAGCCCAATTCATGCCCTGCAGATTTCCCCCCAGAAGTGAGAGGTGTAATCTTGGAGGAGACATATTTGTTGGCTGGACTGATGTGCCCTTTCTTTCCTCCTTTGTTGCTTCTCTGTCTCATAAGTATGTCTGTTCTCCTCAAAATGAACTGCGGCTTGGTGTATGGTGTGGCGCCACTGTGTTCTGTTCCTCACCGAGTCTTCCCAGTTTGTTGGGTTGATGCCTCCCTTTTTAAGTGTTCTTTCATATGTCTTTGAAGCACTTCCACTGTCCTCCATGAGCCCTTGTTCCCTGACTTAACTGAGAGAAGAGTACGTGCTTCAGGAGGCGAGTGTCAGGCATACGTACACACAGGGCTGGCTCCAGCATTTCTGCCGCCCCAAGCAAAAAAAAAAAAAAGCCACAATCAGCGGCGGCAGTTCAGCGGCAGGTCCTTCACTCCTAGAGGGAGTGAGGGACCTGCTGCCCCCGAATTGCCGCAGGTGCCGCCCCTCTCCCTTGGCCGCCCCAAGCACCTGCTTGTTAAGCTGGTGCCTGGAGCCGGCCCTGCATACACAGTGGCCAGCCCAACGGAGTTTCATGACCTGTGCCTCTATACTGCTGATCTGGGCTGCAGAGAGAACGCTGATGTCAGTGTGTCGGTCTTCCCAGCTGATGCTGAGAATCCCCCTGAGGCAGCGCTGTTGGAACCACTCCAGCCACTTGAGATGTCATCTGCAGGTTACCCAGGTCTCACACCCATGGAGAAGGGTGGGGATGACAACTGCCTTGTAAACCAAGATCTTGGTGCCTGTTTGCAGATCCCTATTGTTGAAGACTTGTTTGAGTAGTCTTCCAAAGGATGTGCTGGCACAGCGGATCCTGTATTCAATTTCAGTGTCAATGTTGGCTCTTTGGGAGAGGTGGCTGCCAAGGTACGGAAAATGGTCTACATTTTCATGGGGTTCTCCGCTGATGGTGATTTGTGGAGTACAAAGAGTACAGGTGAGGGATGGTAGAGTACCTTGGTTTTCCTGATGTTGAGAGAGAGATCCAGGCTGTGATAGGCATCTGCAAAAAGATTTAGGGTACTTTGCAGGTTGGCCTGTGTGTGTGCGAGAATGACACAGTCATCTGCACACTGAAGGTCAGTGATGCCAATTCTCATGATCTTAGATTTTGTTAGGAGATGTCAGAGATTGAAGAGTTCACCGTCCATACGATGCTCAATCTTGATTCCATCAGGAATGCGGTCACGGATGAGAATCAGGATCACAGCAAGGTAAATGGAGAACAGTGTTGGAGTAATGACACAGTCTTGCTTCACACCAGTGTGAATGATGAATGATTTGTTCTCTGAGCCGTTGCACAGAGTGATGGCAGTCATCCCATCATGGAGTAGTCTGATGATGGAAATGAATTTCTGTGGACAGCCAAACCTACACAGCACCTTCCCTAGGACATCACAATTGATAGAGACAAAGGCCTTGGTTAGATCGATGAATGCCATGAACAGTTCCTGGTGTTGCTCTCTACATTTCTACTGAATCTGTCATGCCACAAAGATCATGTCAGTTTTGCCTTGGGATGGCCTGAAGCCACACTGTGATTTGGGGAGTTCCTCAGCAAGGGGGAGAAGGCAGTTTAGTAGGATCCAGGCAAGGATCTTCCCTGCAATAGAGAGAAGGGCAATACCTCAGTGGTTCCCACACAAAGATTTGTCCCCTTTCTTGAATTTTGTAACAATGTTTGCGTTCTTAGTCAGGTGGAATTTCTTCAAAGATCCAGATTTTGTTGAGGAGTTGCCAAAGTTTGTGTTGGAGGATTGTTCCACGATACTTCAGCTAGGATGCCGTCTGGGCCTGGTGTCTTGTGAACTTTTTGTCTTGGTGATGGCACACCGGACTTCCTCAGAAGATGGGGGATCAGCAAGGTGTTCCATTGCCAAGTGTTGTGGAATAGACTCAGTGGTGTCTTCAGAGACCATGGATTCGCGGTTTAGTAGGCTCTCAAAGCACTCCTTTCAGTGTTGTTTAATGCCGCATTGTCCTTCAGGAGGGTGGCGTCATCCTGGGAACGTAAAGGGGTTGGGCCTTTGGAGCTTGGTTCATATATAGTTTTTTGTTGCTTGAAAGAAGCTTCTCATGTCATCCTGGTCTATGAAACCCTGGATCACAGAGAATCTCTTGCCACCGCTTATTTTTTATGTCTCGTAGCCTCCTTTGGACTTTGACTTTGAGCAGGTGGCAAACCTCATGTTTTCGTTGGTTAGAGGAATCATTTTGTCAGTTGCAGAACGCAGTTCTTTTCTGTTGAATTCATGCTAGGATTTCCTAGCTGTTTTCGTCACTGACCCCAAATCAGAATCTTTCATTTTCCTTCTAGCAGATTCCAACCCAAATCTTTAAGATTGAAATAAAATTAAAAAAAAAAGCCATTCACACAAGTGTGAGGTTTTGGTTCTTGTTGGATTTTTTGGAGAAATCACTTAAAGTTTAGGATTTGCTTCCTGCCCCATGATGGATAAATGGAACAGGTCTCTGACTGCCTTGGGCTCAGCCAAAAGGACATGTCTAGGCACTGGTTTAGATCCGTTTACATTTTTAATTGCCTAGGAACATTCATCATTTGTTGAAAAATACTGAAGCTTTGCTAGGTTTGGGGAGTTGCAATTAATTAAATATTTTGTGTGCCTATGAATATATTTATAACGTAGATATTATTTAAAAGCATGCGCTAGCAGCAACTAAATGAATCAGAAGGATTGGTGTCCATCAGAAAATACTGCAAATAATATTGAATAAAAATCACACATCTGTAGCTAAATTAACCTTCTTTAGTGTGGTTTCCCAAAACAGTCACAAGTAGCTCTCTTTGCCAGTTCACCTTTTAGCTTTTCCCTAGGCATACGTAATACTAGATTGTACCTTGTCCTGTCTGGGTGCACAGAAGGTGTAGGGTGCCTATCCTTTGCAATGTGGGAGACAGGCACAATCCCAGTCTAGCACCTCTGTCATGCAAGGACTGGGAGATCTGAGCAGCCAGAGCAGAGCTAGACTCCTTAAACAAGGTGGGATGAGGTCATTGTCCTGCTTCTCCTGTTTCCATTGGCCAGTAGAGCTGAGCTGGTGCATGGGAATGAGAGAAGTGTGCATCACATGCTCTCAATTGATATAGTCATAGGTGCTGCTGTGTGAGGCTCCCATAGGTATCTTACCTGTCCCTATCACAGTGTCCTTGGGATCAGCTGCCAGAGCACAGCCTTTCTTCCCCCCAACCCTCACTTCCCCACAACTCAAAGCCACAATGTTTGCCCTTTTGCACTCTGAACATACATGGGTCTTGGGACATGTAGTTTGATGCACGTTGTCCACACTACAGGTCTACAGGGTGCATGAACCAAAGTCTGCTGGGGACTTTCCTGTTGATTTTCTGTCGAAGGCACTCAGCTACTAAGGTGATGGGTGGCAGAATAAAACTCTGAGGTAGATATATTCTAAAAAGTGAATAGTGACCCAGTGTTGTTCTGGTGAATCTCTATCAACAACATTTAATATCCTTGAAGATTAAAACTTCTGATTAGTAATGGTCTCCTTTTAAAAACTCAGAGTTGAATTGCTAAATGCAGTATAAGTATAATGCTTGAAGACTTCAACTGAGACTTCCAGTTCACTACAGTTATGCATTTTTCATGACTGTCTGGTTTTCAATCACTGGGGCAGAACTAGATCTGAACATGAAGCGCTAATTTCCCTATTCAGTTAAATCCTTATTTCTTATGTCTACCTGTTTCCATTAGTGTTTCTTTTACATTTGGTCACAGCCATCTCGAAAAATAGGGATTTACCTACTGGACTAAGGAACACATTCCGAAAGCATTTTCACAACAGAACACACCTTGTAGTACATAAAGTATAAAAGGTTGTGTTCAGGTTAACAAGGATTTGGGCTATGAAAGTTCACCCCTTAGTGATTCCCTTAAGATTTATTGAAAGGGAAGCCTGTTTAGAGAGAGAATCTACAAATGGCCTATGTGGATACCAAAAGGTAACAGATTTTGAAATTCAAAAATTCTTGTCTGAATAGCGCTATGTTCGCGTCATATACATATAGAGTTAGAAACAAAACATCAGTACTCTTCCTGAAAGGTTGCAGTGTAACACTACTTAAAACCATTATTGTGTGCGGAGACCTGCTGCATATCCACCAAATCTACCTGCCATTGTGCATCCACATCTGAAACCAGTGTCTTGTTTCTTTTGACATGTGTTCACGCAAGTTTGTGTAAAGTGTTAGCATCTTGGTCTGAAAGCCAAGCTGTTACCTGTCTTCAATGCAAAGTTTTGCTATGTTTTTTGGCTGCTTGAAAAAGAGTGTTCACCCTCTGAATCTCCCAACTTTCCCGGGGGCGTACTATGTTTTCTTTAACTGA